CTGCTCATTTCAGCTTGCTAATGTTAACCTTTATGATACAATTATTGCCATTATCATTTTTCTTCCATTTAAGGTTTCCCCACACCCTAGTTATTTTCAGGCATTTACAAATAATAAAATTTATTTTTATTGAAGAATAGTTGTATGACTGTAAATATGAACAATTATTACCTTTAAATGTATAGAATCATATCTCTACCAATATAGATTCTCTTTGTATCTGTGTGGAGTAAAAACCATATTTTATTTAGTTTTGTATCCAATGTTCCCAAACACTGATCTGGATAATTATAGGCAAACAAATAATTTGTCACAAGTAATGTGTAATGAAGAAGCAGAGATTATTCTACTGAATTCCAAAGTGTGATACTTTAAAAATGCTCAACTAGGAGTGTTATTGAGCACAGGATGTTAAAAGTTGCTAACTTCCAACTATAGTTTGAGTGACAAAGCAGGAGAGAGAGACAGAGAGAGACAGAGAGAGAGAGAGACAGAGAGAGAGAGAGAGAGAGAGAGAGAGAGAGAGGAAAGAGAGAGAGAATCTGTTATATTAGGATATCTCGGTGAAAATTTCTCCAATATTGCCTGTATACAGTCATCTCCTCCGTCACTATCAATTCATGGTAACCCATGAATTGGTTACCATTGGTTAGTCTGTAGACAGACTAACTTAGTCTCTAGGCTATGGTTTCATCCTTCCAGGCAAGGTAATGGAATAATAAAAATATGTGTCTGTTTGAGTCTGGTTTGTTTTACTTGGTAAAATACATTCAAAACCCATCTCCCCTTTGGACTGTATCACTAGTTCACATTTTATTGTTGAATAATGTCTGTTGTCTGGATAAACTATAGCTCATTTATCCATCTCCCTGGTGTGACACATCAGGATCATTTCTAGCCCAGACTGGTCCCCAGGCAATTCTATATAAAATTCTATGACTATTCAAATGCAGACTTAGTGTCAGCAAAAGTTTTAGTTTCTCTATCTGGGAGTGGAATTTATTAATATTGTGGGATTTTATTATAAACTCTTTAAAATGCATTGTACCATTCTCCACAATATCTGTTCAAATGCCCAGCCTATTTTCTTGAATCACCACAAATTTGCTTATGTTATTTGTTGATATTCTGATTGTCAATATGAAGAAATTGGTTATTGTGCTTTGATTTATATGACTTAAATATGTTTATTTCTTAAAATGAATTTTAGATGTCAAAATAGAATTTGGATAACACTACTTTATAGGTCTTAAAGGTAAAAAATAATTTGTTCATCAACAAATATTTAGTCATGAAATAGGATTTTTATTTTAGCCTTTTTAGCTTCAAAACATTGCCCCACTAATGGTGAACTTGTACCAATTTGTATGAAAACATTAACTAATCACTCAATTTATATGTCAAATTTTAAGAGTATCATTATTTTCATACTTGTGCAATATTTTGGATCTTCCAAATATTCTCCATTTAGCAATCATCAGTGGATTTTTAACAAGTATTTGGAAGTTATAGAGAACTGCAAATTTAAAAAAAGCTTCAAAGAATTATGGTCCTGGGCCTATCACAAACCCCAAGTGTTGATACGGTTGGCGTTAGTACCAGACTTCCACCTAGAAAACTCAGTGTGTAAAGGTGAAGGGGTATCATCAAATGGCAAGAAAGTGAAATCTACAAATCTCTGTCTGAGTAGCTCCAAAGTTTTCAACACAGTGATGAAGGGAGAGCTTTGGCAAGTCCAGAAGTTTCAAACTGGCATTGGGCTCTCAAAGGAGAAGCTTCAAGGTCTATAGATTATTTTCATCACAAGCCTCTGTAAGTCAAAAGCCTCCTGCTTATTCCAATTGGCCATTACCAAGAGTAATCTGGTTCTTCCTCCAGTCAGGCAATCCCTGCAAGACACCCTCCTGGCACACTCTGTGACCCAGGAAAACTGTCTACACTTCACACCTCCAGCTCTGGTCTGGCTACATTCCACTATCTACTTTATGCTTTTATTGTAGATTCATTCTTCACTTTCCCCTTGCCAGATAAAACAAAAATGCATTATGATGAAGGCTAAATAGTTCTTTTCTTTTAAAAAGTGCTGAAAAGTGGGAAGATTTACATAGTGGGAAAAAGGAATGGGGATAAAGGAGATGACTGACGAGGGAAGGTGTTCGTCCAGTGTCAATGGAAACCCTACTCCTCTGCCAGTTTTATTGCCATAGGAGAGCACCCCAGTAGTGGCAGGTTACTAATACTTTACTTTATGAATAGCAGACCCTGAGAACTCCAATAGAAAATCTTGGATCATTTCCCTTATGTGCTGATGATGTTATTACTCCCAAGCCATTAAATATGATTTTTTTGCACATCTGTTTCTGAAAAGAACACACACACACACACACACACACACACACACACAAACACACACATAGTATGAAAACATAATATATAAATTACAGGGTTTTAGCTGGCTATATATTATACTTGTCTCCATCTAAATTTTTCTCTTTTGTGAAGATAGATAGTGGCCTATCATTGTATTACTAATGTTGACTATTCCTTTGTTTTGTTAGACTTTTCTTTGATTGAACTTAAAGTTTTGGGTTATTTCTGAGTCAGTAAGTCATATATTTGGATAAAAGCCAAACTTTAATCTTAACTTTGCAATATACTCTATACATGTTTAATTATATCTTACATAGCCTCACCAATTTAAGGCTTTCCTGCTACTCATACACATGTACTAAGATTTGGAGGGCCATCATTGTCAGCCATTCTCCTTACAGGTTGCTATCAATACTTCATGTCTTCCCTCATCATCTAGTAGATGTAAATATGCCTGTTTCCTTTGTGGTCAAGAACCCTCTTCTTGAGGAAGCATATACAGTGCTTGGCAAGGACAGCCAAGCCTTTGGATGCTGTAAATATGCCATATTGTCTACAAGTAAGTGTGTGGGGTAGCAGCTTCATAGACATCATGTACTAAAACAACACTTAATATATTTCCCAAGGCCCAATACACATCTGTCTACTTGTTGGTAGAGTATATAATTCCTCACTTGATTGAGGTAATAATGACATTGTTGTTTAGATAAGTTTAAGACTTAGAATGGAATTGTCAATCAGGGATAACTTTCAAAGTTGAATGATAGAAGGGATGCTGAAGAATAAGCCCAGACATGCCCCTTCCTAAGCCCCTGTCTGGGTCTCCTCAGTCCTATCCCAAAGCTTCATTGACTTTAGACAGATATCTTTTCCACCTCTACTTTGGCAAGATGTGAAACCAATCTTCCAGTTTCCGCTCATTCATCTGTCAACCTGCCTTTCATGGTGTCTCCAGATCAGTCATTTAAAAAGAAAACTGAATTATCTATCTCAGGTTCAAGACTGTATGTTAACTAGCTAGCCCCTGCCTACCAAAAGGTCTCACTCATTACACTTCAGATTTAGCTTGAGTTGTACTTGAACATAACAGTTTATGGTCCCCAATAAGCCACAGAGCTGTCATACCCAATGCACCAACCTGCTTCTTCTGCCAGGGGCACTCAGCATTATGCCTCTTTCCATTTTAGTTTAATTGGATTCTGATTGTTTTTCAAATATCATTTTTGCCCCTAGCACCTTTCCCCTTATGTTGCCATCACCATAAGTAGTTATTCTACTTCTCTCTTCTCTGAGATCTAGGAGGCTTTTACCTTACAGAACTGATATTCTCAACTAAAGGAGCTCCTCAACAGGCTCATCCTTTTTTGAAGTCAGGAAAATCTGATGCAACATTAATTACCAAAAAAATTCTGAGAGTCCATTAGTGGACTTGTTGTTTGGTACAATTTGAAAGCTTTGATATTCTTAGACTATGGTTCGAATTGTGATGACTGTAAGGGTAGCAGTAGATGTAGGTAGCTACATCTGGAGGTCATGTTGGTACAAAGAGTGGATGGAGAAACTGACTCTCCCTCCTTAAGTGAGAGGTGGAAAGGACAAAAGCCCATTAAGCCAGCCTTACATACCAGGTGAGATTGGGTCAAAGCAGAGCTGGGTCCAGTGCTATGATCTTACTTTGCAGTTCAGTGTGGAGGTGCCTTATGCTCTTAAGCAATACTTTCTTCTTTCAAAATAGGCAAACCCTTGGCATGCCAAGCTCCTTCCTCATTGGTGAGCACACAGAGAGAGTTTGAAACTGGAAGGTTTTGTGAGAGTCTGGAGTCTTTGAGACCATTCAACACTTAACAATTTAAAAATATAAATAAATAAAATGAATTTTAGAGGCTGTAAAACCTTTGCCTCTCCTCGAGGACATGTATCCAAGTGGCATTTCTACAAGAAATGACCCAATTCCCTCCCATTCTTCTTCTGTGCCATAAAGCAAAAAGGGAGAGAAAATGAAAAAGAAAATAAAAAGTAAGAAAGATCAATATGACATATGGATGAATTCCAACAACAGCTAGTGCATATATTAAAGTTTTAAATCAATTATTGCTTTAATGCACGCCCTAAGGTTGAGAATGAAAGAACATCCAGGACTAACAAACCTGATTGTTCTGGCAAAGGTGCTGTTCAACTCACGCTGGCATCTCTGCTTTTTTCCCTTTTGGTATTCTAACTTCATTTAAAAAAAGCAAGTTAATGGTTCAAGTAGCAACTTTTAACATTAATGTTTCATTCACTTTTCTTCAGGAGATTTCTACCTCCGTATCTCTTGAGGGTTTCCCAAAGGGCACGGTGCCTGGAGTTTGCTTATTTAGTTGTAGGGACATCTGTCCATCTGTGTGCAAGTCCATTAGACCATGGATTATTCCTTGATTTATTGCTTTCCAAACAAGGCAGAGATCTTGGCTTGGGAACCTGAGTACCTCACATCTTGGCATCCTTCGATTCTCCCCCAAAAGACTTAATCACAGCAGTTCAGAAACCAAATTACAACTGAATAGCAAAAGGACTTGAACCTGTAATCATGCTGTGATTGCTATTGATCTAACTAAAATTCCCACAAAACATGTGGATGTTTTTTCTAGGCAAGTACTGGAAGTCGATCAAGATGGTGGCTGTTTCGAGGGGCTGTGCTCTGCCTGGTTCTCAGCTGCAAGAGGAGTCAGAGACCGTTTCTGCACTAGCCTCTTTGACAGTAGATGTGGAACAGCCATTTGCTCAGGAAGATGGCAGGTATGGACTCAGCATGGGGGAATCATGTGGTCAGTAATGTTCAGACTCATTGCTGGCATTCTGGAACTTTCTTCCTGCTTCATCTTCACCTGTCTCTTCTACTTCCTCCACCTGTTTTCTCAAAAGCCACAGATGGCAGAGCATCTGTTATAGGCTGTGGAGAACTCAACTGTTTCATTCTTCCTGGGGAAAAATAAACCTGGAGCACATGGTCCACAGAGAAATAGGGAGGATGAGATAGATGGTGAGAAGTCACTCCTTATTGGGTAATTTAGTGCAGATCACTGTGGAAAGAGCTGCTTGGGGACTTAACTTCGTCCCCTCCTTATCTCTGTTTTCCCAGATGTTCCCTTTCTCCCCCTCATTATTGGAAATTTCTGATATAACAAAGGGAACACAGGAAGGTGAAGCTGCTTGGGATGCTGGTTAGGGGCCAGCGATTGTATACATACATGAGTCACCTTGAGTCTAAATGAATAAAGATGGAGACAGGAGTGTGCATGAAGAACTAGGAGAAATGAGCCTGATTTTCTTCCATATTACATGGGAAGAGAGTTCTCAGTTTGCCTTAATATGCACATAGGTTGGGGTGGGGCATGTAATGCTAGACTCAGCTTATACTTTAAGAAACCGTAGTCAATTTGTACATTTTCCTGCCCAATACTCTCACCCTTGTGAAAACACTACATTCAATGTTTCTTTACAGTCCACTGTGACTGGTGCTTTCCATAGCTGGCTGCAAGGTCACATCTCCTTTCTGGACATATGTCAGGCAAGACTCGGCTGAAACTCTGGGGCTTGCTTCTGAGAAGGTACCCAACTTCCTGCATCAGTAACATCAGTGTTAATTACATAGAGCCTGCCTCTTCCCAAACACACTAATATGAGCAGTTCTGGCTTTCTTACCATAGCAGGATACTCCCAATTTAATGGATTTAACATCTTGTTTGGGCACAATGTTGATAAACTGAATACGAGATTTCATCTTTCTGCCTGTGTTTTCTCTTGCTATTGACAGTTTAGAAGACTGTCAATGGGGAGAGCATTTGTGTGTTACTGAATTGGAATACATTTTCTTGCAGTATCTGGAGAAAAGGGGAAAACGTATTTTACATCTTTGATATTATGAACTAGCTCCCTGCTGTTCCCAGCTAAGAACTGAACCAAGTTCATAATCCAAAGGTGTTGCAATTATTCCCAAGGCCAAAACCAGTTAGTTGTCTGTCATCTGAGGGCCATAAAACAGAGGAAACTAACATCTGTTAGTGTTGGATATAAAAGAGCAAAAGCTATTCTTTAGAATCCATTTAATATAGAAGAATGAGGCGAATTCCACTCTGGGTGAAGTGAATTTGAAGTAATTCTGCCCATGAAATTGCAGAACTTGGAATAATTAACAATACGAGATGTCCTGAACCCTGAGCAATATAAAAATCTCAGCAGTTTGGCAGGAGTTGCCTCTACAAGCATACTTGCTTCTTCCATGGTAAATCATGTGCTTGCTCCTGACAATCTGTAAGAATTAACCCAGCTTCAGTTCACAGTGACTCTAATCTTCCACCAGCAGCATGCAGGGTATACGAATACGAATTCATCAGTGTCCTGATGAAGAGAAGGGTAGAGTGGAAGCCTGGTTTCATGTCTCTTTATACTCTTTAGACAGATTCAATCAATTGTGATTGTTTTATTCTTGAGGGAAAAATGGTTTGACTTGAACTGTTTTCTGTGTTTTTGATTTCCTTCAACAAAGGGACAGAAAAAAAAAAAAACAATCTTCTAGAACCAGATCATGTGTTTCAGTTAAACTGTGTATCATTTTCATGAAAGGGATGATGGAGATATGGAGGGGCAGGGAAGGGGGTGGAGAGAAAACGAGAGAGTGACCCAGGGATTGTTATCAGAATTGTTCCCCTGCTCAGCAGCCGAAGCTAAAGGCAAGACCCCAGGCCTTTGTTGTGAATGCAATATTGTAATCACACAGGAAATTGAAAATTTAGAAAAAAATCAGAGAGTTAAATGGATGGAAAGAGCACAGGCAAATTCTTTTTGTAGGAACTTCTTGCCAGTTATTTTGGAGGATATATTGGTGTTTGGAGTGAGATGACTCATTTCATACTCAGATTCTGGGTAAAGCAGCCCTTTTTTTGGCCAACTCATATCTGAGTCATTTACCACTAGTGAATAAGGGATAAAATGCTCCTGGCTAAGAACCATTTTAAGTATTTTCTGTTCATTTTCTTGAATGGGGGTGGGGTGACAGCCGTTTCATCTTTATGACTACTGATGGGCTTGAAGAACACAGTATTAGGAAAAGACTAGCCAGTGGGAACTCATGCTAGGGATCATTCCCAAATACACATAGGCGTCACTTGTAATTTTTCTGTGGCAAAGGACATAAATGAGAAGGGAGTGATGGGTGCATCAGCAGAAAGTGGAAAACAAAACCCAGAGCATGCCCACAAGTGGGAATCAAAGAAAAATAAGAGTATAGACTTGGTCATATACAACAAATTGTTTAGAGGCAGGCTGTGACATTTATTTCTCTCTTGTTTGCTAGGACAGCAAGTCTATAAGATCTGTGTTGTGCATTTGTAGCTGTTTGTGCCTCTGCATTTCAACTTTGGGAAAGTTGGAGGCAGGCTACAGTATCATCTTAGAGAAAAGGTCAGTCTGCCTCCAATGACTTCAGGACAACCAGCTACTAAGGATTAGGAGAATATTGACACTCCAGATTTCTTGGCTGAATCCTTTTCTTTATTCAGCTAGAAACCAAAGTGAAAGTTAAAGGTTCACATGTCAGTCTGAACTGTTTTCAGAAGAATGAGTCCTGTATGACTATCTGAATATATCTCTTATGTCTTTTTTTTTCTTTTGAGACCAGAACTCTTTATTTTGTGATGTCAATGGCATATGCTCACCTACATGTTTCATTCTTTTCCTCCATTTTTATTTAAATTAGAATCAAGATAGTTTTACATGTCAATCCTAGTTCCCTCTCCCTCCCCTCATCCCCTGTACCACCCCACTAACACCCTACTTTTCCCATACCCTTTCTGCTCCCCAGGGAGGGTGAGACCTTCCACAGGGGGTTTCCAGAGTATATCGTATCCTTTGGGATAGGGCCTAGGTCCTCCCCCGTGTGTCTAGAATTGGGGAGTATCCCTCTATGTCAAATGGGCCCCAAATCCATTACTATGCTAGGGATAATTACTGATCTACTACAAGAGGCCCCATAGATTTCCTGGGCCTCCTCAGTAACACCCATGTTCATGGGGTCTGGATCAATTCAATACTGTTTTCCCAGCTATCAGTCTGGGGACTAAGAGCTCCCCCTTGAAAAGTTCAGATGTTTCTGTAGGTTTCACCAAACTGGTCTGGACACCTTTGCTCATCAGTCCTCCTTCCTTGCAACAGGATTCCAGTTCAGTTCAGTGTTTAGCTGTAGGTGTCTGCTTCTACTTCCATCAGCTGCTGGATGAAGGCTCTAGGATGGCATGTAAGTTAGTCATCAATCTCATTATCAGGGGAGGGCATTTATGGTAGCCTCTCCTATGTTTCTTAGATTGTTACTTGCTGTCATCCTTGTAGATGTCCAGACTCATCTCTCTTTAAACCTATAATGCTTCCCTCTATTATGGTAACTCTTAACATGATCTCCTTTATTCTTCCCCCAATTCAAACTTCCTGCTTCTTCATGTCTTCCTCACCCCTCCTTTTCTCCCCTTCTCATTCTCCTAGCTCTCATTCCCCTCCCCTCATGCTCTCAATTGGCTCAGGAGATCTTGTCAATACCAAGCTGTTTTTAGGACTATAGCTCTAGAGTAGAGCTTGAAGTTGGGGATGGTGATGCCTCGGGAGGTTCCTTTATTGTACAGGGTTGTTTTGACTATCCTGGGTTTCTTGTTTTTCCATGTGAAGTTGAGTACTGTTCTTTCAAGGTCCGTGAAGAATTGTGTTGGGATTTGGATAGGTATTGCATTGAATCTGTAGATTGCTTTTGGCAAGCTTGCCATTTTTACTATGTTGATCCTACCTATCCAAGAGCATGGGAGATATTTCCATTTTCTGGTATCTTCTTTAATTTCTTTCTTTAAAGACTCAAAGTCCTTACTATACAAGACTTTCATGTTTTTGGTTAATATTACCCCAAGATATTTTATGTTGTTAGTTGCTATTGTAAAGGGTGATGTTTCTCTGACTTCTTTCTCAGCACATTTATCATCTGTATATACTAGGGCTACTGATTTTTTTTTTAGTTAATCTGGAATCCTGCTACTTTGCTGAAGGTGTTTATCAGCTGTGGGAGTTCCCTGATAGAGTTTTTCAGGTCACTTAAGTAAACTATCATATCATCTGCAAATAGTGAAAGTTTGACTTCTTCCTTTCCAATTTGTATCCCATTGGTCTCCTTTTGTTGTCTTATTGCTCTAGCTAGAACTTAAAGTACAATGTTGAAGAGATATGAAGACAGTGGGCAGCCTTGTGTTGTTCCTGTTTGTAGAAGAATCGCTTTGAGTTTCTCTCCATTTAGTTTGATATTGCCTGTTGGTTTGCTGTATATTGCTTTTATCATGTTTGGGAATATTCTTGTTATTCCTGATCTCTCCAAGACATTTATCATGAAGGGATGTTGGATTTTGTCAAAGGCTTTTTCAGCATTTAGCAAGATGATCATATGGTTTTTCTTTTTCAGTTTGTTTATATGGTGGGTGACATTGATGGGTTTTCATATGTTGAACCATCCCCGCATTCCTGGGATGAAGCCAACTTGATCATTTTGGTTGATTTCTCTGATGTGTTTATGCGAGTATTTTGTTGAATAATTTTGCATCGATGTTCATGATGGATATTGGTCTGTAATTCTCTTTTTTAGTTGTGTCTTTGTGTGGCTTTGGTACCAAGGTAATTGTAGCCTCATAGAAAGAGCTTGGCAATGTCCCTTCTGCTGCTATTGTGTGTAACAATTTGAGGAGTACTAGTATTAGCTCTTATTTGAATTT